TTGTTGCTGCTTTTATCATGTTTTACCATTGCTACAGCCATTTATAGAAATCAGGGTGGCAAGAGCTGAATATGAAAAGGACAGCTGCATAAAAACCAAGTCTATTATGGTAAAAGACTGAAAGATTTAATAAAATAATTTTTAAATAATTTTTCATGCTGGGGGTAATTATAAAAAGCACATTTTATTCCGGTCAAAACAGAAGCACACATCGTATTTCATTACGATGTTATTATACTTGCTGTTATAATACCGTTTTGGTTATCCAGGTAGCTCCCATACAGATTGCTGGAGAGGTTTCTTTTATATATCTATAGCATCAGACATAAGATCTCCCTATCCAATATCAGAGAAAGGGTATGTGTAGACCAGAACCTGCACCAGACCCGCACACATGTAACGTGATGGTGCACGTAGCAAACTTTTTACCCCTCCCTTCTTCATGTTTAACGTTCCTTCCACGGGCCTTTGTCTCCTTTGCATTGTAATTAATGTCACTGCTCTTTTAAATGTTGGTCGCTGCCTTTCAAACTTTCGAAAAGGCACTTTATTTCACAGCTTGTTACTCTACGTGAGAGCTCTGAGGACAGCAGAAGCTGGTTAGAAGCAGCTGTATCTTTGTTTCTCTAACACTACAAGAAACAGAGGCAGGGACAGAAGCAGAAACCAGCCTTCCTGTTCTACTTCCTCTTTCAAGGGTTTTTTTCTTTTTCTTTTTAACTCTTGCTTGTTTTAACGCTGAAGAATTATTTCTTTCTGGACTGATTCACTGCACCTAGGAACTTCAGCTCAACCACATCCCGCACAAACATACCTGAAGATCTGACACGCTGCATTGGCAGGTAATAAAAATGTCAAGGGCTGCTAGGTGGTATTGTGACTTTAAAAAAAAAAATACACTTCACATCCAGTGTTTTGCAATGAGCTTGGCTTTACCAAGAGGTTTCAGAGCTACTGTAGAAGTCAGTGTATGTGCCAATCTGTGACTTCCAGTTTAACAGGCCGGGGTAGAAACTTCTTCCCAATGTATAGTGCAACCTTACATTTCATCCTAAAATAATCTCCCTCTGCAGATAACCCTGTCTGCTACAAGCCCCTAGTTCTTGCTGTACGGCATCTGTATCAGCAAGAACAGTCAGTAAATCCCCCGACTTGTTACATAGGCTCTACTCGATTCTCTGAAGCAGCTGCTATGAAGGACTATATGTTAATAAATGCCACGACGTGGCACTTTCAAGTGGTGAATAAGGATACTTGCTGCTCCATTTTATTTTAAAATTTCCCAGAGTCTGAGCCAGCTGAGTTGCCAATGATCACATGCATCCTACAGAGACACATCCACAAAAAAGAGAACTGGTCCCCCTTGCATAAGGAACTGAATATGTTGCAATCCCTAGAAGATATCCATCAGGGATGACCGTGCTGTTGTGTGTTCACCACATTACACAAAAACAACTTTGTTAAAGAGACACTGAGGTTGAGATGTCAAGATAGCAAATACCAGCAGTAAAATTTCACTTGAGCATATGGCAATTTTGATACAATCTTTACTGCACAACATACTAGTTTCTCCACAGGATTCAGTGAGGAGAATGCTCACTAGGTAGTTCTGCAATATATGCACCGAGTTTGGTAAATAGCTTTATGCTTCATTTTCTGCACTTGATTCAAACAGGCTGCAGCATCACGTTCCTTGACGGTTTGCCAATGGTGCTAACTGCTAAAGTATTTCAATGCTTTGCAGCCATTTAGTCTCACACAACCTGGCATGATGGGAAGACATTGTTTTCTACAAAAGACACATGGCAGAGAGACAGATGAAGGTCAAAAGAGTCCACAGATTTTGGATGCCCACTCTGAGATGCCTAAGGGCTGATTTTTCAAAGAGCTTCTGACTACTGACTTCAGTGACGCTACTGAGTGCTCAGCATTTCTGCAAGTTAGATGCTAGGGTTTCAAGGTGGGTACTCAGAAAATGAGACACACAATTATTGCTCCCCGCTGGTAAGCTGGGTTGAAGTAACTTGTGCAGTGTCATGTTGGAGGTTACACCTAGTGCTACCACCATTCCTGTTCTCTAGGGCAGCCCACAATTGCTGTAATCCTATAGACCCTGCCTGATTTCACTACATATCTTCCAACTTACATAATAAATGACACAAGAGTCTTGCAAGCCGCAGCCTCACTCCCTAGAGAACCAGACCATAGTTTACCATATCCACTGAATGGTAGAAGAAACCATGGGAGAAACAGCACATGACCATGTCATTATAAAATACTGTGTACACATGATCCCAGCATGACTGTGTTTGTGCATGTGCTATTTCCTAGGTTCTTTTTTAAAAAAAGGATAACTGCAAAACCAGTAATGAGATGTGGAGGCATACAGGGCCCTAGAATGAGAATGTAGATCTCTGTCCCTTGAACAAAGTGATTAGAAAGTACAAGTAGCAGGTTGCCAAGCTCTGTGGGCATAAACACACCACAGCAGCAGCAAGCCCTGGGTGAGACATTCTTAAGTCCTGCCCACCTGTTCTCAAATTGCATGCTTCAAGTCCAGAAATATGACAACAAAAGATGCTCAAAAGTGTCCCTCTGCAGCTGCTTTTGAGAACTGGGTCCCCAACATGCTTGAGAGCCACTCCGGGGAAGGACCCTGGAGCAGCTTCACTGGTGTACTTCCAAGTTTGGGTAGGTGGGGTGTGCTCCAGGTTGTCCTGCCTGGGATACACCGCCACTGCAGAGCAGACGTATCCCATGAAAACCAGACAAGAGAGGGAGACAAAAATGTGCTAGTGTGTTCCCCAGTTATGTGCTAAGAGCAAAATTAAGCTTTAAAAAACCTGGGCTCTACCTTAAGTCTGGTACAAAGTTTTCTCTATAGGCTACAGACACTCACCACTGTCCCGTTGTCATCCCATCTCTTCTCTCATACGCTATACTCAGGGCGTATCTACGTGGTGACCGTAGATCATCATGAGATCCCCAGGTAGCTACACTGTACCGTAATGTAGCTACCTGGGGATCACACACAGTCTGTCCACAATAACACAGTTATTGCCAAAAAGCAGTGACGCAGGCTGTCTTTGCTACCACCCCTCCTCCACTATCCCTCTGTTTTATCTCAGCGTATAGACATTTTTGCTGCTTTAAAAAGGAAGGAGCTGCTGCTGATTGGGAGTATGCAAGTAGATGCTATGATGTTATGTCTGCATGATCCTATGATGATACAAGTTGTTTTTTTCATCTAAAATCTGACCCTGGGCAACACAGGTTTCAAGTTGGAGCAGTTTAGGAAAACTTTATCAATACAGAATCATGAAGACGGAACAATTAGACTGCCGTCACTTGTCCTGGTTTCCTCTGATATCACTGCACTGGTTATATCTATCTATAGCCTTAGTTACCCCATTTCCCTCCCAGGGTCTTATCTGCCCCTGTAAATCTGGCCCTTGCCCCTTTGCATTTCAGTCAGGATAGTTCCTCCTCTAGGATGTCTGGACCCGCTGGGGCTCAGAGTCAAGATGGTCTTGCTGCTGTCAGGTCTACTGCCTAGGTCCCACCTCAGCACCAAGTAAAGAGGAAGCCCACCTCTGCCTCGACCCTCCTCGGCAAGGCTGCGTGAAATCACTCCATCAGCAAGGAAGGAGCCATGATTAGGGACCTACACAAATTTCCATTTTGCAGATTGTGTGAAATGGGGCAATCTCTGCAAAAATCAGCAGAAAAAAAAAAAAACTTACTAAAAATAAAATGCTGGCTCCCCAGTGGGAGCCAACAGCCCTCCTGGCGACGCACCCCGGCACAAAGGGGGCTGCTGGCACCAAGGCATTGGTTGAGAGGGCTGCCTGTTGTACAGTCCCATCCCCTCCACCAATCAATATGAGGGATGGGGCCTCATGATGGACAGACCTCGGTAAACGGGGTGGAACCATATGATGGACAGCCCTTGCAGCTGATCTGCAGTGTATGTGTGTGTGTGTGTGGGGGGGAATACCCTTCAGCCAATCAAGAGGCATGGGGAAAGGTGGGGCAGGGGGTCACCATGATGAACCAACAAAAACAGCAAGCGAGCCCCAAAATCTGCCTGTCAAATTGGCTTGCAGCCGCCTCAAGTTGGGTAGCCCCCTAGCCATGATGGATGATGCAGCCATGTTCACAGGGCTCTACTGAGCATGTGCAAACCGAGATTGTCTGAAGGCTTACAACGTGGCCAAATGTGGGCATTTTTCCTAGGAGGAAAGCAAATGGCACATTGCTGATGAAAAGGCAACCGCCTTCCCAATTTCAGGTTCTTGTTCTGGAGCAGGGAGCTGGGAGGTTGAGACAGAGAATTGTTAGTATCACCAAACAATGTCATTCCCCGATTTTGTTTTCATGAACGACTGAAACGGTCTGCTTTATAAAAAGTCAACCCAAACGATACCAGTCTGGCATAGTTACTGGTAACTAGATACGGCTGTAAAGTGAGAAGAAGCACGTGAAGTATATGCAGATGCTTCAAGCACCGTCTGGCAGAGTCCTTCCCTGCAATTAACTGGCCCCGATTACTAATGCCACGCAAGCAGCTGATGACAACTTCTGGCACTACCGAAGACTCACATCCTTCAGAAGATCACAGAACAGAGGGACAGTTATGACTGGATTTACAGATTCATATTTAAAGGAAGCCGTGAATAGTTCAAAGCTGCAATCAGACCTGCTAACAAATTGCCATAAAAGGCATACAATACAGAGAAAATCCCCTCTGCTCAGTAAAATGCATCACGTCTTGCGAGGCAGCATCTCTTTAAGAATGAAGAGGCTTTGGCTCATTCGGCCGGTTCATCTACTTGACTAAGCACGTGAGCACAGGAGTAAGAGAAGTAGAAAAGCATGCTCCTGGCGGGCACTCTGCTGCCCAAAAGACCAAAGGGCTCTTATCAGCACAAGAAGATTTCTTACTCTCAAAAAGGTGAACGCAAAACAGAGAGAATACACAAATAGCTGATGCCACTTACTTTGCTCTTCTTGCTGCTGGACATCTTGTTCTTGAGGTAGCTGAAGGTGCGGCTGACTTTTGTTCCACTTTTCCACTCTAAATCTTTCCTAGAGGGGCTGTTAGGTGGGAAGTTGCAGCTCTCTTCAGAGATACTAAAGCCAAGAGAGACAGAGAGACAGTTATTTTTCTTTTCTGCAGAATATCAGAAGATGAAGAAGACTGAAGAGGAAACACTCTTAGATTTTTTTGAAAGGCCAAACACATTTCTTCCAGTTACTGTAGATACCGAATAGCTTCATCGGTCAATGGGCGTTATGTCAAAGACAATGGCAAGCTAATGAGAAAATGCTACGTAGTCAGCTGCAAAAACATTTCCATAGTAATTTTTTTGGTACTTTATCTTCACAAACCAAGTCATAGTGCCCTCTGCTGCTGCAGGGGAGAAATAGCCATGAACTCACTGTTTGTCAGCATTTTTCCATCAAGACAGCCAAGTCTGTATGACTACACAAGTACACTCTCAGTCTCCATGCTTAATTATTAGCGTCTGCTATTATTTACTTGGATCAGACTGTTATAGAGGAAGATATACGATGAACTCTGCATGCAGGACAGCCTCCACTAGGAAGCACTCTGTCTGGAAAGTATCCCCAATAGTTTTGATGCAGTTTAATTGGTGGTTTAGTTAAAAACAATCTTTGATAGACAACAGATTTTTCCTGGTGCCTTTCATGCAGATCAAACAGGAACTGGTTCTTTTTATTTGTTCATCTGCTGGCACACAATGCACCATGCTCCGAGCCATCAAGAATTTCAGAGGGGCTGGTGAAACAGACCTCAGAGGCAAGACAGCAAGCTAGATTGATGGTAACCATAGATAAAATAACTGTCCTGGAGCTTCTCAAATGGGAAGATGACAGAGATTTTATAAAGATGCCAAAACACTCTGCACAAAAACCCACTACACAGGCTCTATTACAATGAAAACAGAGCAGCAGAGGCCATCTTTTTGTTACATCATCTAGCACAATTGTTTATGGACACCGGGGGTCTGCAGACTAGGTCTATGGGGTTTGCAAAAGATGACTATGAGCAGTCAAAACTTTGTGAATACTTACACTTCCAATTCAAAGGGGTCTGCACCTCCATTCTAAATTCCCAAAGGGGTCCGCCATTCAATTTTTTTTAGGGGTCCACAAATTTAAAAAGGTTGAAAACCACTGATCTAGCGCAATGGGGCTCAAATCAAGAGCCATGCTAACAGTTAACTTAAAATATGCCCTTCAGAAGCACCACCCCACCACTTGCACCAGGATGACTTTCCATCCATATTCATTTAAAGAATATGGTGTCAGAGAGCAAGTGAAATACCCCCTAGCAACATGCATACATGCATCTCCATGAAAAAAAATGACTCTAGGAAAGGCCACAATCTTGCCAAGAAGGGGCAGAATGCAAATCTCAGGTGAAATGTTAGTCAGCTGAGGAAACTAAGGGGAAGAGAAAACAGCTATAAAACATATTCAAGAGCTTCCTGGGACAGAGATACAGGCTCTAATTATCAGGAAAAGTAGCAGTGTATACAAGGCAGCAATCAAAGATCCAGTTCCCTTGACGCCACAAATGATATCCTCCCCTCACATGAGAAAAGATGAATTAAAGCCTCCAGTCATGCAAGGAAGAATAAAGTATGCATACAAACACAAAAAAAAACTTGCCATCATGGGGAAAAAAAAAGGGGAAAGGGAACCAATCAGAATGACCTTACATTATGGTACTTTATGTTGCACCACGGTTATGTAAAAACCTGAGAAGTTTTACATTGCAAAACAACTTAAATAATAGTCTAAAACTTTCCTTATGTTGCATTAAACCAGAAGCATCCAGAATTACCTATTGCTGGAGAGAAAAATCAGAATGAGGGGTTTCAACAGAGAAAAGGTACTATACCTCTGAGCCAGGGAACTGCTGGTGCCACTGAACGATCGCGTGCCTGGAAAAGACGGGGGAAAACGTTAGACTGCAAAGTCTTGGGCACCAAGGATTTTACTTAGCGTGCAGATTCTAATAGTTAAAGGAAGAGAAGCAGCTGCTTAGCAAAAGCTAAGGTGTAGTACAGGTGCCTTCCTGTGCCCAGGGGAAGAGTGTTCATATTTCCTAGGGGATTCCAAATTAATATCTTAGGTAGGAAAAAAAAAAAAAGAGATGGGTTGCTTAGTAGTTTTATCACTCATCAGCTGCTAGGCAAAAGATGCAAATGTATTATTTTCACTGACATATCAGGGTGCACAATTGTGACCCGGTAATTTAATTTCAGTATGTGAAAATGAGAAACCCGTTGCCACAATACTTTTACTTCTGTACCAACAGAATACATCCGTTGTAAAAGAAATCCTGCTTTCATACCCGAAGCAGATTTCTAGTTGATAAAATTATAGCTCATTTTCCTGTCACAATCTCTAAGCATGGCATGAAGAAATATGGAAAACAAAAGGAGCCTTATTCATTTTTCTATAGTAATGTCTATACAAACTTACACAGAGCTTAGTCACTCAAAAGGAGCTTTAGGAAAAAATGATTTTCCACATCCTACTGAAGCCCTACCCATGATACAACTTCCTTTTCACACTAAAGAAGCCTGCCTACATAGTCTACTTGGAGTGGATTACGTAGCCGCCACTATTTGCAAGGAGTGTCTGGAAATGCTGGAAAAGCAAGAGAGAGCAATTTTGATGCAAAACGATGCCTGATCGTTCCTTCAGAAACTAACAGGGCTCGTCACAAGTTGAAAGACCTCATTACAACTTTTATATTTGACCATGTCAGATGAACAACAGGCAGTGTAACTGAGCTTATAAGCATTTTGTACTTCCAGTGTAATAACAGCAGCACTTTGGCCTCCAACTGTGTTAACACAAGTTAGAGCTGAGAGCTGATGCCGAAAAGGCCTTAGTCCTTGGCATCAGAAGCAAAATGCAAGCTAGTACAAAGCGCTGTAAGTGTATTACAAGATGCTTTTACATTGCACAATGCCTCCCTCAGTTCTAAAATACATTTCCAATTATTGACCACAGTGCTTCGAACAGCATGAAAGAAAAGACGCTATCTTTGACCCTTTAATTCAAACATTATATAGTGGAACGAGCTGATCACCTGGGCATGATTTGATAGGCTTTGCCTGTATATCCTTCATTGAGTCTTTAGTTTAGCAACTTTTCTGCTCCAAATCTGTCCCCCATGACAACGATAGTTATTCAGACAAATTTACTGTCTGGCTCAGGTTTGCTTATAGTGACTATTACATAAATATCTAAGCACTAAAAAGGTAAGCCACAGGCTCAAGCTGCTGTCCCTTGTTAACAACATAGCAGGTCTGGTCTTTGCATGAGCTTCAATCCACTTTTAACACAGGTTAGGATTCGTCGATCAATATTTCTGCTATCGATCACCTGCCTTGACTGAATATGAACATCCCACATCTCCTATGAAGTCCTGACTGTTCTACACAGCCAGCAGAACAAGTAGCATAAAACAATATTAAATCCAGATCTATAACAATTTAGTGTTCCTGATCTGGTTTTCTGCTCCCCTGGAAATGCCCAGAAGATGCACCCTGCTGGCATTCATGATCCACTTTGAACCGCAGAAAATATTTTATCTTGAACAGAAGGCAGACCAGGTGGCACCTAACAGAGTAACTCATTCAGAGAGGCACGAGTTTGTGCAGGCTACAGCTTACTTTGCCAGGTGCTATAAATGGGCTTGCAGAGAGCAGGGGTACTAAACTGAAAAGAATATGGTCATTTAAATACAAGTGACAGTGATGGACAAAACGATTCAGAGAAAAATCAAAACTAATCTTACTTCTGAATTAAACTGGATTTCTAAGGTTCAAAAAGAATTGTAAGGCCAGCAGTCTAATATTGGTTATACTGATCATGAAAACAACAGAGTGATATTCCCTCCCAAATTGTGTCTTGGCCCTGTCTGGGACCAAAAACTCACGTGCTGGGAAACAGCAAGAAACCCTGATCTGCAGCCTGACTTGATAGTTCATGAAAAATCTTGTTTTTGGAAGGTTTCCAGCCCTGCTGTGCAACTCCAATGAGTTTGGATTAGCAGCCAAACTTCTGGGTGTTATCTGAAAAATCTCAATCTTGTGCGCTTTACCCGCCAACCATTATTTCATGTGATCGATGGACTTGAAATAATTCACCGCCTTCGTGATACAGAAAGCAGCAGCGGCATTGGCACATTCCAAATAGAACGTCTCAATGACAGAAAACAGCTTGCAGCTCCCCAAGACAACCAGTAATTAAACTGAAGGGGGCCAGGGAATTCCAAGAGCCTGATAACAGCCATCTACCATTTGGTAATATGTACAGACCAACTTGTCAGGTAATAATTTAGGCACTTGAAATCTGCAGCTTGTCAAATGGGAAAAAAAAAGGCAATTCAAATACACAGTTGTGTCAGACTAACTGCAGCCCAGTCCAGGGGAAAAGCTGGGGTTTCAAGAGGTTGGAGAACGGCAATTAAAATGCATGCTTGATTTCAATGCAAATGCATCCATCTCTTCTCAATGAGAGCTGGACCTTGGGAGAAGTAAGAAAATAAATCAAGGCAAGTTTTACTGAATCCAGGAATACCTGTGGTGAAGGCAGCTGGGTGAGTGGCTGGGGTGAAGCCAGCCTTTTTACGAAGCCACCACAGGACTGGTTCAATGAGGAAAATAAACACCAGGGAAGTAACTTTTTTATGCTTTGTGACATTAAAATTCCAGCGTAAATGCTCGCTGATAATAGCAGTACTGTTGAGGGAAAAATACAAGGTAGACTGATTATTTAATGTGATGACTAGACACTGCATAGCTGGCAGGATGATTTAAAATAATAAAGAATAAAATTGGCTAGTGGTGAAGTGCTTCTACTGCGCTGGGAGAAAGCTAACACATGAACAGCTGTGTCCTGCAGAACTGCCTTGACTAGAGAATTTGGCCTGGATGTGGAACACCCTGAAGTCAGAAAATGCATGTTTAACTCTCTAGGTTGCAGAGGCAACTACGAAATGCTAATCAGGATCAACATTCAGGCATCACAAGTCCTCCAGTGCCTACATACACAGAGGGTCAGTGCAATTAGACTGATAAGCTTGGTTTGAAAGGTCACTTTCACTGGCAATTCTTTGGGCTGCAATCAATTCTTTGTTTTTACAAAGCCATGACAAAATCTCTAGTGCACGTGGCAGTAAGTCATATCCCCCAAACAACTGACACAATCAACACTGAAAATGCCTCCTTCATGGGTCCAATACGAAGAATATTTAGAATTCAAACACAAACCAGCTGAGAAGGCAAGGTGCTGGATCTGAAACCAAAATCCTTTTATTCTGCTGTTAGTGAAACATCCAGACACGTGCCTACAGAAATGCTGTTAGGAGTCATGCAATGGAGTGGTTAGTCAACTGTTCTTATGGTAAAACAGCAAAGTCTAAAGCAGAAACACAGGCTACCCATTACCTCCACCCACAAAGGTTGTGTTTCATGTAAGTTACTTACTATCCGACTCCTCCTCCTCATCACTGGAAGAAGAGCCAATAGAAAAGAGAGTTTTAGACTTAGGAATGAGCGGAGAGATGTTGAAGGAGAAGGAGATTCGTCTGGATGGCCGGGTCCGTCCCTGGGCTGAGAAGTGGGTTAACAGCAGACATTAGAGCATGCTTGAAAATGCATTTAATAATAAAAAAGGAAAGGAAAGGAGCCAAAAGCACACAAAAACAAAGCAAAGTAGATGTCTGCAAAGCAGCTGGCTTCAGAAAAGGCATAAGCGGCAAAGAATTCAGCGTGTTTATTCCAAAAGATGCAGGTTTCATTCCGTGCATAACTTTGAGTTCAAGGAGTCTCTTATTTGCATTGGCAGACTTTGCTAGCAGCTCTTCCTAGGATTTTGTATTTGAACAATTATGTTTCCAAATATAGAAGAATTTACATAATGGGTCTCTGGACAAACAGCACCTTCTTCATTGGGAGAACTGTCAAGGAACCTACTCAGTGCAATGTGTTCCAGAGACTCCCCCACCAGGGCTAGAAAGCATACTGTGTCCATTTAAAATGGCACAGCAGGTGCTACTTGCAGCCAATCTACTTCACCTGAACTTTTGACTTTTTACTTTCAATGTTTCTACCATTCCCAAATGTAAAAAAAAAAAACAACCCAGTGAATTTACTGCCTGTGAAAGCTGCTGAACTGAAAGCCCTGGGAGACCTAAAATCCCCTGCTTTTCTTTCCAACAAATATAGCATTGACAGAAGCCTCTTTCCTCCTGTTCTCTTCCAATGTACATAACACTTGTTGAAAAGGAAATACCTATAGCTGGGACCAGCATTTCTGTAACCAAATCAATCTTTACTTTAAGGAATTTGCCAACTCATGTACTAAATTTGGGGATGATTTTGTAATATCGACCCCTATCTTCTATTAACAGGTTTTAAGCTACCAATGCAGAAGTGTAAGCTATGTTTTACATATTTTAATTCACCTTGTGAAACGATAACTTCACCTCCCAGTACTATCCATCTCCCCTGAAATCAGGAGAAGAGCCAACATGGATGGCACATTCCTGTGTCTTCTGAAATCTATCCAAATGAAGGGGACTCAACTGTACTGGCATTTTCAATAAATGTTTAAGGGAAGTGCCTTGAGAGCAGTGATCTCTCTTAATTAAACCAAAGTGCACTTTTCTTGAGCAGGATGACATATGAACCCTGATGGCTAGCACAGAAAAATCCCACAGAATTCAATAGGACTGAAAAACAATATGAATGTAATAGGTTTCTTAAATAAAGGAAAATTCTCTTAGGATCTTACAATGGATACCTTGACATCTTAAAATAAATATTCTCCAGTCTACACCAGGGGCTTCAGGCTACATAACAGTGACCTTTTCCCAGCTGGCTCCACAGCCCTGGCATAGCTACCCTCCAGCTAGGGAGCT